CAACCTGATTTTCATTAAACTCATAGTTGCCATTTTTCATCAAACCCTTCATAGCCATGCTATTATAATCATCACCAATAACATCACTGCCACTAGCATTATTACTACTATAAGTTTTGACATTTACTTTTACAGCATCTATAATAGTTAGTATATAATTAAATTTAACAAAGTACCTATATTAGATATAAGAGTTTAAGAGTAGATACCTATTTATTACTTAAATTACAAACATAAAAACCACATTATAGGTACTAACTATTTCTTAATACCAATATTTTTTTTTGAAATATTAATATTTAGTACTAAACAATATAGATGCATTAATAATATTACTATATATGAATTATTATAATGTAATGCAAACTTAATTTTGCATGTATTCTACTATAATTAGTTGAGTACCTAGTTATCAATGTAATGAATTTAGTAATAAATAATAATACTACATGAACATACCACTTTTATCTAAATTATTTTTTTTTACAAACGCATCCAATGATCCTTTGACTTTTTTAAATTCTAGATCTTTTTTTTCTTTTATTTTTCGTTTTTGGTGACCACTAAGCTGTTTAGGTTTGGTTGACATGTTTTTAATTTTTTAAAAATTTTTTTAATAATTAATGAGAATAGTCAGAATTTAGTTACTCGTAAACCGAAATTGAAAGTCGTTAACTGAAAAACAAATCACAATTCAATTTCGAGATAGAATGAGTTTATAATTCTTGGGCTATTAATACTTTATCAGTTGATCTCACGGACTAGAAACGATATGGTGGGCTGGTGGACGGTCGGACGGACCGCAAAAGTTTCTTCTGTTATCATCAACCACAGATATAAAATATCTGTGTCATCAATTGAATGTTTCCAACACTTAAGGCGGTATTCCACTAACACCGTGTTCCGTGTAGACCGTGTTCGTGTTGAATATTGTGCAGAATTATTATTATTATTAATATTATTATTTATGTTACCATAAAATATGATAATTCGACCAAACTATACCAATAATGTTAGATAAGAAAAAAAAATGATGTTATTTTTGTTGATAATTTTTAAATACCTACTACGCCTTTCCTAAATCCGAACTTACTGTTACGTTAAACGTTAAACGACTTAAACTTAACTGACTTAGTAATAAGTATTTAGTATTTACACATAGTACCTAATATATATTTTTTTTATCCATTAATAATAGTCAATATTTAATAGGTATGTCTAAATGGAAATATGATATGGAAATAGAAATGTATCACAAGCAATTAAAATTGCATAAAAGAAAAATAATAATAATAACTGCTATTTTAGAAGAATTACATCATACAAGGTAGTAATAAATAAGTTCGCAGACTTCATTAGTATTCTCAATACAATAGTAATAGGTATTGTAAAATACTAAAAGCATTTATTTATGCTGTATTCTATATACTTCAATCGTAAAAACATTATTTTTTTTTTTAATAGCAGATATTTATTTCTGTGTTTTAAATCATAAATTACTATATTTATATAACATACAAACACAATTTGTTTAATTCACTACTACCACTTCACACTCAATGAAGTCAAACAGGCTATCCAAAAATACACCTTAAATAAGTCCCTGGGCGGCTGGGCTATGACCTAATTACTGCTGAAGTACTGAAGTAGTTAGATGTCTCCCCAAAAAATGTTATAGTACTTGTAACATATATATGTATTTAATGGATGCTTGAGACTCTTACTTTTCAATCTTATACTAATTTAATGGAGTATTCAAATACCCACTTATTTTTCAATTCTTCATGACTCATGAGTATTTATTCTAAATACTTTTTAAAATTATTTTATCCTAGTCTTTTAATTACCATAGGTTTGGTTATTTAAAGTAGTGACATTAATATTCTGTCCTAAATTGTTTTATATTTTGTTCCATAGTAGAAAAACAAATAGGTGGCACGTACGTCCAATATTTAAGGAAAGAAAAACTCATGGACATTACCACTGTCTATTAGCAGAGTTTCAACTATCAAATTCTGCTATGTATTATAATTTTCTTAGAATGAGCTCAATATGTTTTGAACACTTGGTTCAACTGATTGGTCCAAGTATACAGCGTGTACCATCTCGGCCTGATATATTATCAGTTGGTGAACTTTTAACATGTACTCTTAGGTAAATTACTCATATTGAAAATGTATTCTAATCAAGGTACTTTTCAAGCAAATTTTTAAAGTTTAATCTGATAGAAACTGGTACATTGTTTTATCTTGTAGATATTTGGCCTCTGGTGACAGTATGATGGATATAGGTTATGCCTTTAGAATAGCACAACCTACAGTTTCAAAACTTATTAGACAATGCTGTACAACTTTATGGGATATTTTATGCAATAAAGTAGTTACTTGGAATTATTTTTTAAAATATTTACATGTGTCTATAATCAAGTAAATTACTTTAAATTTTAAACATATTGACTTCATTATTTTAAGGTACTAATGAAACCACAAACTGAAAATTGGATATCTATAGCCAATGAATTTAATATGAAGTGGAATTTTCCAAATTGTGTTGGGAGTATTGATGGCAAACATGTTGTTCATCAGGTGCGGATTCTAAAATTATATATTTTAAAGTACACATAACTGGTATATTTATTTAACAATAGTTATTAATTTAATAGGCATTTGCAAACAGTGGATCTACTAACTACAACTATAAAGGGACCCATAGTATTATTCTTTTAGCTGTTTGCGATGCATCATATTGCTTCACTTTAGTTGACATAGGAGCTCCAGGCAGATGTAGTGATGGTGGTGTTTTTAGAAATTGTAATTGGGGTAAACAAATAATTAATAGAACAATTGATTTTCCTGATGCTATTGAAATTGATGATGAAAATGGTCCCATACCATATTGTGTTGTTGCTGATGAAGCATTTCCTTTATTAACAAATGTTATGAGACCATATCCAGGTAGATCAAAAGGAAATTTACCTGAAGATCAAACCATTTTTAACTATAGGTAACAACTAAAAACTAAAAAGTATTCATATAAAAGATGTTAAATTTAAATATATAAAGAAATCAATTTAATTATTAGACTTAGCCGTGCAAGGCGTACTATCGAAAATGCCTTCGGTATATTAGCTAGCAAATGGAGAGTATTTCGATCACCTATAATAGGAAGTGAGAAAACTGTTATAGCAATAACCAAAGCTGCAGTTGTCTTACACAATTTTGTTAGAATATATGAAAAAACTACAGGTACTAATGTTTTATTAAAATTTGTAATTAGAAAATGTTAACATTATTAAAAATTGTTCATCTTAATAAGAATGTTTAGTTTAAACTAATTTAACAAACCTATTTTATGGTAAATAATTGTTCGTTTCTTAGGCGAATCTCTGTACTGTCCAGTTTCATTAGTTGATAGATACGAAAATGGAAGACTTATAAGAGGACAATGGAGAAATGATATAACCAAAGCATTAACTCCCATAGGTCAACAAGGTTCAAACTCTTATAGTGCAGAAGCCAAAATTGTTAGAGAGAAACTAAAAAAACATTTTAATGGACTTGGTGCTATTAATTTTCAACAAAATCGCAACTACTAGCATAAATAATATGATTAGGTAATACAATTGGGTTATATTTCAGATTCATTTAGAACATCATTTATGAATTTTGCCTGTAATTTAAGTTTCTTCGCTTTTGGAAGATGTTCCATAATACTGCATAAATAATCAGCAAATTTTTCATCACTTGTTGTGGCTGGAGGTGGTGGTGGAGTTTTTGGTCTAGTAGATTTTAATTCACTCAATAATATTGAAATATTATCTTGAGAACATCTTCCTAGAAAATATATAACATTTAACAATATAAGTATACAAATATGGTCACTAAGGCACTAAGAACTATTAAACAAGTTTTGAAGAATATTACTTTTTTTTGTTTCTGCCAATGGTGGTACATCAGGACTATCAGATTCCAAAGCAGCAACA